AAAAAAAAAAAAAAAAAAAAAAAAGTTTACAATGGATTCATCCATGTATAAAAATGTATATATTTAGACTAAAGCTGTTGGCATTCTGTGGAGCACCCATTTTCTTCATCTATTGACTCTTGAGATTCTCCCGTCAGCAGCCGTGTGCTGGCCTGTAGCATTTGTTGATGGCCGTGGTGTAAATGCTCCTGCCATGGCCGGTTGCCTAAGCTGGTGGGGTGTTACTGCATGGGGCTGCGAGGAGGGAATGGGAAGGAGCCTGGCACAGTCGGCTCTCAGCACTGGCATTATCCGCCCTCTGGAACAAATGGGGAACCTGAGCCAGTCGGCCAGAAAGCAGGAGGGCGTGGATTGAGCCTTGGCCTGTCTTGTTTCTGTCCACTGCACTTCCTTGCCCCTGCCAACACATGCGAGGGATATTGGCACAGCCGAGCCAGGAGACGGGGCATTTGTGAGGGCCAGGCAATGTTGGGTCCTCCTGGAAGCAACGATTGGGCGTCAGCCTGAGCTGCCCTCCAGCAGAGCCCGAGAGGGTAGGTGTGGGTGTGGGATGTCCCGACTGTTCAGGATGGGCTTGAAATCAGGAAAGGTTGGGCTCATTGAGTCATCCTAGAAAAGCCATCATGGCTTGGCGCCTGGGTGCCACACAGGGGCTCCTTGGAAGGGCCAAATGCTGGTAAACGGAAGCCATCCTGGCAAATGGCCAGGGCAGTTCTTTTTCTTGAACGCACCATGAGCTTTTGTGGCCATTTCCAAAAGTTCAGCCAAGTCCTTCAGTGCCCAAGGTCACCAGGAGCTTTTGCTTTCCCAAACAGCAACTGGCGCAGATCGAGATGGACCTGAAGTCCCGAACGGCCGCTTACAACACTCTGAAGACAAACCTGGAGAACCTGGAAAAGAAATCCATGTGTGTATTCACCAGCCTCCACATCTGGCGAGGGCGAGTCCTGGCGGGGGCGTAGCGTTTGCCTGTCCTGCCACTGGGCCACCTGGGAGTCTGTGCCCGTGCATGACAGTGAGACAGACAGACAGGTGGAGGAGGCACTCTCACCTCTCCAAGAGCCGCGTGCTGGGAGAGGAGGAAAGGGCCAGGCGAGGGTGATCACGCCCCGTGCATATGCCCAGGGAAGAGGATGCGGCCGTGCTGCTTCTCACCACACGCTTCCGTCTCCCAGCTTCTCCAGGGCGCCTGGGTGCTGCACCCAGTCCTCCCCTGTGGAGGCTGCACAGAGGGCCCCCGGGGCTGACAGGAGGCCAGGATATCAGAGCACGGCCCGTTGCAAAGCGCAGCAGGGTAGTGGGCTCTGTGGACAAGAGCAGAGCAGCCTCAGGGACTCAGGTGCCTTCTCCACCCACCTGAAGAACCACTGTGTGGGAGAGGGAGCAGGCTCCGCTGGCAGAACAGTCACCACGATGGTAGAGATGCCAGAGAAACGTGTTAACTCAGCAACGCAGTGGCAGGGACTGTCTTGTGAGGTAGTGAGTGTCCTGTTGTTGGAGGTGTGTAAGAGAAGCCATGTAGCCAGACATGGTGGCTCACGCCTGTAATCCCAACACTTTAGGAGGCTGAGGCGGGTGGATCACGTGAGGCTAAGAGTTTGACCTGGCCAACATGGTGAAACCCCGTCTCTACTAAAAATACAAAAATTAGCTGGGCATGGTGGTGTGCACCTGTAATTCCAGCTACTTGGGAGGCTGAGGCACGAGGATCACTTGACCCTGGGAGACAGAGGTTGCAGTGAGCTGAGATCACCACTGCACTCCAGCCTGGGCATAGAGTGAGACTCTGTCTCAAAAAAAAAAAAAAAAAAGAGAGAGAGAGAAGCCAGGTGAGCTCCTGCTGGGGAGGTTGCTCCTGAACAGGGTGAGGTGGGGTTGGCTGGCATGGAGGAGCAGCCCAGTCCCCCCAGACTCTGGATCTGATGCTGTTGGTTGTTCTCCGAGAACCCTGGTCAGTTGTAGAGTTTTCAATATGATACCTACACTTGGCCCCTAACTCCAGAGAAGGGAAGTGACGCAGGGAGCCCCGAACCAACTGCCCTCCCCGTGATTTGCCCACTGCTGTAAGCAAACAGAATGTTACCTGGGAGGTACCCCCACTTCTGCAGTCCACTTTGGAGGGTCACTGGGCCAGCTGTCTTCTTGTGAAAAAAGCAAATGGTACATTAGTGGAAAGAAAATTAAAAACCATAGATGGTTTTTAGGCCAGGCACAGTGGCTCATGCCTGTAGTCCCAGCATTTTGGGAGGCTGAGGCAGGTAGATCACCTGAGGCCAGGAGTTTGAGACCAGCCTGACCAACATGGAGGAACCTCGTCTCTACTAAAAATACAAAATTAGCTGGGCGTAGTGGTGCGCACCTGTAATCCCAGCTACTCAGGAGGCTGAGGCAGGAGACTTGCTTGAACCTGGGAGGAGGAGGTTGCAGTGAGCTGAGATCACGCCACTGCACTCCAGCCTGGGCAACAAGAGTGAAACTCTGTCTAAAAAAAAAAAAAAAGCCCACTTCAACTGGAGACCCTTGCTGTTGGATGCCTGGCTTCGTGTCAAAAGTAAGTGGGCATGAGCTCTGGAGTATGGGACAGAGGCCAGGCGCTAGCACAGAGAGCCCTAAGTGGGGATGGGTCATCCGTCCATTCTAGCTTGGAGCCCGCATACAATGGGGCCATCCACTCACACAGCATCACCCTGTGATGGATTTCCTCAGGACTGGTTGGGACTTGAGCAAACACCTGGTCCAGCCTCTTCACTCAACTGGTGAGATTCCATCATTCATTGATCATTCATTGATTTGCAGTGACTTTAATTGATTTACTGAGCACATACAGCAAGTATAAGAGGGCGGCGTACGAAGAGGGATGAACGTTTCTAACTCCCTCCTCTGCGCTCTCTTTTCTTCTTTTGTTGTACATGTACCAAGTATGCACTGTGCCCTCAGGCCTGACGCTAAACCCTAAAGACATAAAGCAGAATACAATACAATTTTTGCACTTGCAGAGCTCATAGTTATTCATTCGACAAACATGTGTGGAAAGCTGGCTTCATGTTGGGGGTTCAGAGGTGAGCCAGGGAGAGAGGTGGGACAGTATAAGGGTACTGTGTTCAGTTCTAGGACAGGGAGGCTCATGCATGTGGTGCCCAGGGAGAAGGAACCTAAGGGCTTTATCCATGGCCATGCAGCTGGTCAGTGATGTTCAGGCAGGAGACAGCAAAGAAGCCACACAGGCTCCCTGAGGAGGGTGTTTCCCATTGCCTTTAAAGCTTTGGCCATGGCTGAGTGCTGGAGAGCGATTTCCCAGGAAGCACTCTGTGCCGACGTCACCGCCCCTGTGCTGGTCCCGCATACAGCGTGGGTAGTTTGATCTTGGCGCATTTGCTGATCTGACAGCCTTGATCCATGTGCCAATAATACCATACCCTCCACTCAGACCAGGTCCACTGGGCATGTAGAAAGCTATTTCAGGTGAGTGTCCCCTGGCTGCTGGGCTGGGAGGCCTGTAAAGTGACACGGAACTCTATCGAGGATGGCTCATGCAGCTCCAAGAGCTGGCCGTGGTGTTGACACTTGAGTAACGTTAGCTGCCTGCCACCCGAGGCCCCCCTCCTGTAGCAGCTGTGGCTGGCACCGCGCACCGGGGCAGTGCAGGTCACTGAGGTGTTGGATTCGGCAGCCCCTTGGGTGATGGGTGATAGTACCTGAGGCCCTGCCAGCCTCCCTGTCCCTAGAGGGGAGGAGGCAGCAGCTGTGACCCCAGCACAGAGCCTGGCCCTGCAGTTGGCGGGGAGCAATCATTGCTGAGAATTGCTGTGTTCTTCTAGGCTCCAGCATCCCTGGTGCCCACCCTGCCTTGAGAACTGCCCCTCAGCCCCAGTGCCTGGGCATGGGTTTGTGGGGTCACTGTGTCCCTTTCTGCTCACACCGTTCACACCCTTGGTTCCACCTGCCTTTTAGGGGGAACCTCTTCACCCGGACACTGAGTGATATTGTGAGCAAGGAGGACTTCGTGCTGGATTCTGAGTATCTCATCACACTTCTGGTCATCGTCCCCAAGTGAGTGCCGGGCGAGTGGGTGTCTCACTTAGCCTGTGCTCAGCGATCACGAAGGCAACTGGCCCTGCCCAGTAGAGAGGAAGGTGGGCCCGTTGGTGACTTGGGCAGAGTGGACGAAGATGCTCCCTGCCCAGCCCCAGTTCCCGGGAAACAGTCATTCCTTCACGGGGCCCTGCCCGCGGCTGTGCCAGCAGGGACAGTTGTTGGGTGATAGAGGTTGTGGCCATGACAGAAGCAGCCATTTATCGAGCACTTTCTATATACCCAACGCGTGGTCGACATTATTTTATTTCATCCTCACCAAAGGCCTGGGAAGTCTGGTGATCCCCATTGTCCTGAGGCTGGAGAGGCTGGTTAGCTTGCCCAAGATCACAAAGGGCCCAGATTAGATGGTTGTTAGTGAGCCCCAAGTGCATCCATAGCTCTTCACAAAGGGACTTCTGTGGGTACCCTGGGGAGGCTGGGCAGGGGATTCCCCATGGGCACAGCCGGGCCTCAGGGGAGGTTAGGGCTCCCTCTGACCCCATCCCTGCTCACTTTAAGGCCCTCAGGAAAAGGGGTGTGCAGCTTCCTAAGCACTCAGGACACCCAAGAGCCTTTTCTGCAAAAAATTACAGAATGATTCTGTATTCTTGCAGACCAAACTATTCACAATGGCAAAAAACCTACGAATCTCTCTCAGATATGGTGGTCCCTCGATCAACCAAGTAAGTGAGACCCCAGCTTGCTCCCAGGGCCCCTGGGTGCTTCAGGGCACCCAAC